TGCTTTCTGAAGACAAATTCAGAGAAACCTGCTGGAGAAAGACATCTTAGTAAATTGGCTACATGGGATTCATTTCATCCTTTTGGCCATCTAGGCACTCAGATTCTCCTGCAGTCATAATGGAAAACAGCTGGCTATTACTAGAGCAAGTGGCAGACACTGGCATCATCCATGTGTTGCTGGTTTAAGGGGCATGCAGAATGCAAGACTTATGGACTCATGGGAGCTTCCAGCAATATTTTCAAAGAAGGCTTGAGAGGTGAGGTGGTTCCCTTTGGACAAGACAGCATGTGAAGGTGTGAGAATGAAGTGAAAAGTGTAGTGGAGACCAATGAAGATGGTAACTCTATGAAGTGGAATATCTGGGGGAAAGTGTAAGGATTGAGCAAAGCCAGTCCAGGAGAGAAGCCTTGAGAGCTGCAACCACCAGCAAATCTCTAGGCCACCCACTCAAGCAATTTGCAGCTTGCATCTTTCCATCTCTGTCCCCAAATGCAGGACTTTAAGCTAAGTGATTTACTCTCTGATCTGTTAGATTTGGCCCACCTTTAGTCTCATTCCCTTCTATTTCCCTTTTGCTCATTTTTGAAATGAAAATATTTACTCTGAACTATTGTATATTGTCAGTGTTTATCTTTCTTTTTGAGTTTTACTGCAGTTTACAGCTAAGAGTGTGCTTTAAATCTCAGCAGAGGCTTTGAATTTGGAACATTGTAATTGTTAACACTTTGGGACCATTGAGAGATGAACTAAATGCATTTTGCATAAAGAGATGTGCCTGAGAGTTCTGGAGGGTCAGAGGTGAAATGTTATGGTTTAATACTAGGTGTCCCCCAAATCCACATGGACTCAAGGTTGAAGCTTCGAGAAAGTGGATGGATTATGAAAGCATTATATCTGACTTGCTGTTAGGAGATGGTATCTGGTAGGATAAGGTAAGTCACTGTGGGTGTGACCTGGAAGGGTTTATTTCCCTTCCCACTCCTCCCTTGATCTCATTGTGCTTCTTGGCCACCGTATCATCAGCAGATTTCCTCAGCATCTGGCCATTCCACCATGCTGCTAACCTTCAGAGGACAGAAACTTCTACAAATTGTAAGCCAAAATAAACCTCTCCTCTTTTAAGTTTTAGGTGTCGGACTTTATGTCTCAGTGATTAAGACACTGTTGTAATGAGTCTTTCTCATCACATTTCCTATTAACTCAGTTCAAGCCAGCCTCCAACTGTATCTTTTCTTCTGTGCCTCTGCCATGGTTATTGCTTTCAGAAGTCTTGTTTCTGTATTTTATAATCTACATATTCTATAACACAGCTGAGGAATTTTCATTTTCCTCATGGGCTTCCTAAATGTCACCTGTTCTGATAAACCCACTGTTGTTGCACTCTGGTGTTCTTGAATCCAGTTTACTCTGCCAATGTATTACTTGGTGATGATGTAGGTCTTGTTCCCTGGCTGGCTAACCAGAGGGAAGAATCCACCTTCAGAACCACTTGCCAGAGAACAGCAGGAAGTCTTGTGAGTGACCCCCAGTCTAGGATGACTCTTTGAATCCACTCACTCTCCATTATTTCTTACATTACAGAAAGCTCTCCTGGGCTGTCTTCTGTTCCTGGCCAACTTGGAGACTTCATACAGTGCCCGCTGCTGGAATGTAAAAGTGGCAGAAGGTGAAGGCAATTACTATTATGGTAAGTCTTGGTTTTTAATACTGACTGTGTGACTAAAGCCTTTGAGTAGCTACAGGAAGGTAGGTGAAGGCAGATAGGGAACTGGAGTCCAGTGAGGGTCTTCTACCTGGCCTGCATATAAGACAGTCCTTCTCAAGTCTACCTGAGTGAGAATTGACTAGGGAGTGTTTGAAACTTATCAATCCTAGGACTCCATCTACCACCTCATGAGTTAGAATCTCTGTTTTCACAGCTGCATATTCATGGTTCAAGATTAAATCCTATTACTTACTCCAAAGAGGTATTAAGATTCTGATGTTCATGTCAAGCTCAGGGAGTCTTGTGAACCAGCAGGTGCAGATTCAGAGACCCTGAAGGCAGATGAAAGAATTGCATGAACAAGGCAGTTGTGGTGATGCTAGGGGTGGGTGTCCTGCAAGTACATGTGAATCTAGGGGTCTCAGCAGTGGTTCTCAGCTTGGTTCAACACTTGGCAAGTGTTCTAAAATCATGGCCACTTGGACTCACACCCAGGGATCTTGATTTCCGTGTTTTGTGATGGGGCTTAACATACACTTTTGATTTGTTTGTTCCAGTCCTGAGGATTGAACCCAGGCTTTTTTACATGCTGAAAATGAGATCTTACACTGACCTGCACCTGTTAAATACACTTTGAGTCCCCAAGATGTTCACTTCACAGGTTCATGAAGAATTGAGAATGAAAGTAAAAAGAAGCAAAGTAAAAGTACATGAGTGAGGAGTTTATGAAGAGTTACTCCACTAAGAGAAAGTGGGCCCAGAATAAGATTAGAGAAGAAGGTGGTAGTTATTCTTGAAATGTTTACTTTAAAATAAATGTAAAAGGATTTGAGTTTGCTTTGGAAAATGTGGCCAGTGTTGTAGACTTCCTAGTACTCTATTTTAGCTGAGAGAAATGGAGGAGCTCTGCATTGCATGACACAGAAGTTGTCTATCATCTCATAGAGAGGCTGAGCCAGTGTCCTCCCAGCCTTGTTTTGGTTGCCTGATTTGGGGACTTCACTGATGTTGCTGTGTGGATTTTTCAGTATGCAGGTATATCCTTGAATATATATTCATGACGAACTCAACTTGGAGGAATGATAAATGTGAAGATTGTTCTTGCTATGAAAATGGGATGAAATGTTGTAGTATGTAAGTATCAATCTCATCTTGTCCAGAAAAGACTTGGCTATCTTAGACTTTATTTGGTAGAGCAGTTTTGAGATTCTCAGTAAAATTGAGCAGAGACAGATATTTCCCCATTTGGCCCCTTCAGCTATAGGTACATAATCCCAGACTGTTAACATCCTCAGTGAGAATTCCATGTACCCCATATACATCTATGCGCTGACACCCATGTACTAACATCCTCACATGATCATCATCGTGACTCCAGAGTCTAAGTGAGGATTCTCTCTGGATGTCATGGAGGGGATTTAGCTTTTCATCTTATATCTTGCAAAGATTGAGTGAATTTTGGACTGACACATCTGTACAACCTCCCCACCCATCATCCCCACAGTCCTGTCATCTTGCACAACTCAAACTTTGAGTCTATCCAACCATCATTCATCTCCCCCTACCACTTGCTCTTGACAACAACCACTCTCTTTTTGGATCTCCAAGCATCACAGCTCTTGGAGCCTCATATATGTCCATCCCTGAAGCATCTGACCTGCTGAGACTAGTTTACTGAGCAAAGCATGATATCCTCAAAGTTTATTCATGCTACAGTGTGTTAGAATGTCCTTTCACTTCGGTGCCTATAACACTGCACTGTATGCATGACACTGTATGTAAGACATGCTATGCTTATTCATTCACTTGTTAATTGGCACATGATATGCTTCCAACTCAGGTTATTTCTCCTTAGGTATTTATTGTGAAATACCCGTCTGCGCATAGTTTCCAGAGCATAGGAAATCCTAGCCAATGTTTGGATCCTATTCTGTAATTTATCCTGGTGACCACCGTAGCCTTGATCTTGGATGTTTGTAATAATAGAAGTGCTGTAAACCCAGTCACAGGAAAGATATGTGAAGTGTCAGGGATGATCAGGGTGTGATATGTCCTGTAATCCCTGGATTTCTTCACTGCTTGTGTTGAAGTCATAGAAGCCAAGGGTTCTGCAGATGTTTTCTGCTGGGATTCTATAGATAGCAATGTTGTCATTTTTGGGGAAGAGAATGCAGCCATGTCTAAATGAAGTACCTAACTCTCACCCCTCATTCCCTGTGATGTCTTTGTATCAGCCATCCTGGCTTCAAGTATTTTCCATAAATATTGGTAGCTTTTATTTTATTTGCTTTGTTTTGTTGTGCTGGAGGTGAATCCAAGACTCATAAACTCTAGGCTGGTGGTCTATAAGAGAGGAAACATTCTTCCCAACATGAGGATCTTTGCTGATGGAAGCATTGGTGTGAAGTTGCATTTCCCAAACTTACTTCTGAATGTAACCAAGACTCAGAGGGTGACAGGTCAATGTCAGCAAGTAGAGAAATCAGACAGTTACTTAAAAAGAATGCACAAGTCTTGTGGGAGTTGAAATGTCTGGAAAGCTCTGTGCACATTTTTTGAAAGGGTTTATAATTAGTGCCCTGGGAACAAAAATGTCTGATGTCCAGAGTGTGGCAAGTGCCTGGGGCAGCTTCCCATGCACTGCCATCCTGCAGCTACATTCCAATTTTCTGGCTCTTGCAATTTGACCTTGTCTTGTAGAAAGTGACATTGACTCTGCAGTGTGGTCCTGTCTTGACCATGTGCTGGGATTGTCAACAATTTCTCCCTCACAAGTGAGCACTCCTGCCTAGCTGTTAAACTGCTCCCTGTTGATCAGCGCTCAGTCCTCCTGCTCTCCTCTGTGGCTCCTGGGAGTCAGGTAGAGAAGAGTGAGTGCTGGTCCTGGCACTGAGGTGAGAGGAGCCTGGATGCTGGAGTCACAGTGACCTGAGTCTGAGTCTCTTTTTCCCAGTGTCGTAGCTGTGCATCCTTGGGGAAAATTCTCAGTCTCTCTAAGGCTCATTTTCTCTACTGTACCCTGTGGATTATCAGGTAGATGTGAGAAATAAACACTTTTTTGCAGAGTTATACTTTAACATTAAAAGAACATAAGAATTTCTCTGGGCCTGGTCTTTGGCTCCACCCTAGGTTAAGGAATGACTCAAGTGGAACCATCCAGGTGGTCTTTTTTTCCCTCCTGCCCCATTGCCTGTCCCTTGAGGCACACTGCTGCACCCAGGGGACATGTGCTCTTTAATCCCATGTCAGAACCAGCTCCTCTTTCCCTGGAATGACCTCAATGCCTATCACCTCTGTTTTCTCATAATCTGTCTTTTTTATTATGGGTATCACACAGTATTTATTTGGTTAAGCATCTCTAAGACAATATCTGGAGCCATAGTCCACATGCAGAACACTGCTCAGATGCCCATGTATTCAGTGCCTTTAGGCCCAGGCCCAGCCCCATCCAGGCTGAGCTCCAGGAACACAGTGAGGGAGGCACAGAACCAAGGTCACCCAGCAGCCAGGTCAGGGCGTCTGATTGCCTGATGTCTGTGAGCTCCCCCTCAGTCTCCCTGGGATGTTCTCTCTCCCATGGTAGTTCTGGGTGGGATTAAGTTTGCATCTAGTGATGGGCTCTGTGTCCTGTACACAGATGACAAAATTATGCATGTTGATTACCTGCCAAACACATGGTAATGATTAGGCATCATTCCATAAATAGTAGTTTAACTTTAATTAATTTCTGTTGAAATAAAATATGTAGTATATAAATTTTTCAATTTAACTGCTTTCAGATATATAATTAACTGGCATTGAGAACATTTGCTGTATTGTTTAACCATCTCCACTATTTCCAAAACTTTTTATATTAGATTTTTGTTGCTTTGTATTTGCATTAGTTTGGCTTCATCCTAGTGTTTCTTCCATGCTGGCCTTCAATATTCACTCCTTCCTCTTCAATATCCTGAGCAACTGAGGTAACTGGTGTACTCCACAATGCCTGGCTTTTTCCAAAAGTCTGTAATGACTCCAAACAGAAATAATGTACCCATTAATCTCTAATTTCCATACCCACTTCCTGTCCATTCCTGGGATCCTCAAATCTGTCTCAGTGACTTTGCCTCTTCTAGTTCATTCATGTCAGTAGATCCCCAGGATGCTTGTCTGCTGTGTGGGCTCGTTTCTGCCATCAGCCTGTTAGAGCTTCTTTCCTCCATGCCACAGCAATAGCCCTGGGCATTGAAACCCCACACTAGGTTTACTTATTTGTGTGGGCAGGGAGTTTGGGACACCTGCACTTTCATTTATACTCACTAAAATGGGATCATAAAAGTTTGCTTGTGTCTCTGATACATATTTTTAGGGCTCTCCCTGGGAGAGGACTTGCTGGGCCATAGGGAACTGTGGATCTCACACTTGAGAAACTATTGAGGCATCTTCCTCTGTGGCTGTACCATCTCACATCCAAACTGGAAACAACCACTTCTGAGTTTTAGAACTTAAATGACATTTTCTTATATGTGCTATAAAAACCACATTAATTGACTATTGGAAGGTACAAATGATCCTCTTCTAGTTATAGTTCCTCTATTAAAAAGTAATAATCATTAAGATTTTATCATACTTCTTAGACACCCTTTTGTGTACTGGATGTCAAACCATTTATTATAACTTTGTGGTGTTATTATTCAAGTTAATAGTCTAGCTTCATCACTCTTCCTTCACATAAAAGCCTTTCAGAACATTTTCTAGTTCAACTGAACAAATGCTTAGTCTTAATTAAAGCAGGATCTTAGCCCACAAGGCACAATTCCAGAGTTTGTTTCCACCAGAAGGATGATGTCCCCAGAGGTGTCTCTCATGTCTGATCCCCTGGGTCAATGCTGAATGTCTTGGCCCCTATAAGCAGCTATCTGCAGTCTTCTTCAGTGCATAACCAAAGGCTGAAAGAGTCAGTGTCTAGGGGGCCATGGAGGGAATACTGAGGAGCCACACTGCTTTGGATGGGTGAGGAAGAGGATGAAAATGTTCTTTTGTCAAAGTCAAATTCCAGGATCAACTCGTGGATGAAAACATTGTCCTAAGTTATCTGCTTCTGTACACTTAAGACTTTTTACACCTTTGGGGTGGGCCTCAATGGGGTAATAAGCTCTATGCTGTGCACCTGGACTATGGGTTGGAATTTCCCAAAAAGCTGACCCCAGTTTGATCATTTCCCTGAGGACTGTATCCCTGGTCTGAGATTTCTCCTTGTTCCTGATGATGGAGTTATCTCTTCTGGTAACAGAGCACAATGCATGGCAGGGATACCCCTCCCTCCCACATTCCAGCATCTTCCATGCTGGTCACTTCCTGAGCACTAGGATGGATGGGTAGACAGGCTTTCTGTCCCACATGTGGCAGCGCTGCCCTGGACAGTCAGAATGTCTTGTGTATTCTGTGCATGCAGGGAGGAATGTGGCACCCGTGTAAGGCCTGATCTATGACTCCATGGTAGAGATCAGTCTAGGTTTCCTCAGAACCTGCTGTAAGGATATGGGCCAAGGCATGGTGTCAGTCAGTGAGGAGCTCCCAGTCAACAGCAGTGTGAGCTGTTTCATGCACAGAGCTGTGCTGGGTGGCAGAGTGGGATGGCTGGTACCCTAGTTCTTCTAACAGGCCTTCATCTTGTCTCCATGACAGAGTTCTTGAACCTGTGGATTACAACACAACCATGTGTCAGCCCATTTTCCACAAGGACAACTGCACCTACACCGTGGTGGAGCACGAGAACCCAGCAAAGCCCTGTACTGTGGGTGACTGGAGACTGTAATGCCCTCCTCTGCACCCAGCTCTCCCAGGCTCACTTTTTCCATGTGTGGCCTCTATAATCTGTGACCATGTGGGCCTACCCAGCAGTAAAATCATTCTTGAGCAAACCCTTCAACCCGCATGTTCCTTAATATTACTTATTACACGTGTAGTGATGTAATGCATATTACAAAACACACAGACATTTAAAAGGAGAGAAATACAATAAAAATAAATGCTACAGCATGTTTCCCATGCTTCATCTTCCCTAGAAGACCACTGCTATCTGTGGCACTTTTCACACAGCCTTCTTCTTTTACCTTACGACCTTGTGGGGAATGGAAAAATAAACATGTCTGAGATGGAATTGTTTTCTTTTTCCTTTTCAGCGTTCACGTCTCGCCCCTAGGTTTTTTCAGGTAGTATCTGTCTGCTCTGTCCCCACATCCCTCTGCATTGGCCTAAGGGCAAAGCAGGGCAGGGAGGACAGGCCGAGGAAGTTCTCACGTGAAGCTATGCAGCCCCACAGGAATCAAGCCCAGAGATCTGACTGCAGGGCTCCCTTGTGGGTGCATGGCTCTTGGTGTCTTTTGCTGTTCACAGACACCAAACATGAGGTGACTTCACAGTGACAAAATGCATCGTCTTTAAACTTTCACTAGTGTAGACGATGTGCTTCTTCCATCCAGTGCATATTGTCTGGGCCAGGTGTGCTGCTGGATGTGGGATCCAGCAGTGAACAGGCAGGGCAGGACTGTTCTGTCCTGGGGCTTAGAGTGGCTCTGTGAACCTGATAGATCTCAAACAACCAACCAGAGGGCAACTGACACAGAGCATCAGCCTCCCAGTTATTCTCAGTGGTCAAATTTGCTCTATGGATCCTAGGATGGCCTCTCAATGTGATGGTCATACTGCTGATAAAGATGGACTTTGTTCAAGTTTAGTTCCAGAAAGGCTCATTTCAAAGCTCTCATGGTAGTTGAAGAAGGATTCACGGAGAGACAGTTAGGAGTTAACATAGTCCTGTTCCCTCTGCCTGAAGAGATGATTCTGTCTTTTATTCCAGGGGTTTTCTTGGCTCCTGGGACATTTGGTTACTGTCCGCTTTCAACTCAACTCCCCTCCTCTCAAAAACCCTCACGCTACAGATTTTTAAGTGACTAAGAAGGGAGAAACAGCCACCGTATAAGCAAAATAATCTCTACCATGATTAGTCCATGAGACTATGTACATTTCAGGATAGAATCTATGCAGATCCCACACAGTGTCCAAGCAGGGCCATGCACCCTTGAGGTAATGGCCCCAATGGTCATGAACAGGAAGATCTCTGACAGCTGGAAGGCCCCTGGCAGATGCTTTTGAATGATGCCTAGAGGATGGAGAACAAGCAGACTCCACTTTGGGGCCACTGACCTTACTGACTATTAGAATCCTATCCTCTGTCTCACTAACCCTTGTCTCAGTACATTTTTAAAAATTTTATTCTCTGATCATTAGAGTAATGAAAATTAAAACAACACTATGAATATATCTTACTCCTTAAAGAGTGACAATCATGAAAAAATCAAACAATAATACTGGCATCCTGTTGTGTCTGAATAACTTTAACTTCTCTTTTCCTTCACTAACTATGGTATATGCAAGGTTTTCAGGAAAATCATAGTTAACAGATTTTCAACTGCACACTTTTATTCCATCATGCTCTAGACCTTCCAGCTGGCACTAACAAGTCTTGGCATTGTCTAAACCTGAAGGAGTGAACTCCATTTTTCTGTTTCTCTGAATCAGTCTCTCATCCTGTTACTTTGGATTCCATTAACAGCAGATCTGATTAATATATATTTAGCCACAAATGACAAATCTGTCTGCAGCCAGCAGCATCACATCTTTGTGGCTGCAAAGGCTCTGGGTGGGCCATTCCTAAGGTAGTGATCAACTCGTTCACTGGTCTAGAGATTAGACTAATTGTGGATAATACTTATCATGGTTTATCTTATATCTTGGAGTTCCTGATAGAACATGAATACAGGGATGTGGAAACTTGGTTTCTCTGCTCCTTGCTAGCATGACTATAATGAATAAACTGATTTATTACTCCAACATTAATTTTTCTAGTTGACTTTCAGGCAAGTGGCTAGACCTTAAGTGTTGGAACTTTCTAGGGTTGGGCCTTCCTGACCAAATAATATGAAAAAAATAATCTCTACAGATAAAATTCCTATCAGATTCTGGTCTTCTGAGATTCCTCCAGAATTGTGCCTTAATCTCTGCTTCTAGTATGGTAACATTTTTTGAAGCTACTTTTCCAAACTTGTCCATTTACCTCCTGTGAACGAATTCCAAATGCATCCAAATCAGTACAGTGGGAGTAGTCAGTGTCATAAACCCACTTCTTAGTAGGAATTTTTCTGTTGGTTAGATTTGCTACAGTGTCACAAAATGCCTCAGACAAACAACTTAAAACTGGGAAAACTGATTCACAGTTTGAGAATTTCATTCCATGGTGTTCTGGTTATATTCATATTAGAACACAGGAGAGCCAGAAAGTCCTCACAGGAGAACATGTTTGGGCAGATCAGCTAACTTTATTGTGACTGAGAAGCACAGAAAGAGACAGAGAGAGAGAGAGAGAGAGAGAGAGAGAGAGAGAGAGAGAACAAGTACCATCCTTCTTGAAAACTGAAAACCCAAAACTCTATGAAACCATAGTTGATTAGTCCAGTTTTGAATTCATAACCCTCATCATCTAATCCCCTCTCAAAGTCCCACCTCTAAACTTTGCTGCATTGAGGACCAGGCCTTTATGGAATGAGCTTTTGGGGTACATTTAAGATCCAAACCATAACATTATTTATAAGCAACTTGCAGGATATATCTGGAGATGATATAATATTTTGTGCATCAGTAAACTACAAATTGCTTTCACGTTTTCTTTTTTTAAAATCATGTTATATTTATTATTTACATAGAAAGTTGACCACCTTAAGTTTACAGTTGGATGAATTTTGACAAACATGAAGAGTTGTGTAACCACCTCTACAAGAAAATATAGAACATTTCCATCACCTGAAAATGTTGAAAGTGACCACATTTAAATCATAATCTTGGACAAATGACTGTACCTGGACATGACTCCCCTGATCTTGGGGAGCTTGGAGTCCTTTCCCTTTCTGAACCAGACCTGGCTTTCCAGAAGAGTTTGGTAGGACCTCAACAGAAGGCAGCATTGAGGCCCACAGTGAGTAAATGACAACATGCTCAAGAGAGAACTGCCTGCTCTCTGATATAATGGAAGAGAGGTGGAGGGGCTGCAGGTCAGGTTCCAACTACTCATCCTCACTGCAGGGTCCTTACTGGCCCAGTGACCTCAGTTGATTATAGGGGGACTTTTATAAATGTCTTGCTGTGAGTCCAAAAGACAGAACTGATGCTGTGTCTAGTGGAGACTACTATTGTCAGTATGCACTGTGCTGTGTAGATGATTAAATACCTCCTTGATTTCCCCAGACCTGGGTCTGACCTAAAGTGAGCATGGCTTCCTTTCCCTCACTCACAGATCCTACCATTTATCCAAGGTTCCTTTGTCCACATCCTTTCCTCAGATACCCACCTCAGAGGGGGAAAACCAAGGCATATAGCTCCCTCTCAGGAGCATGCATCAGGGATTGACTCTTGTGGTCTACTTTCTGACATTTTCTTCCTCTTTTATAGTATATTCATATAGGCTAGGTCAGAAAGAGCCATTACTCTATGCCTGAGTTAAGGCTAACAACCAAATTAGCTAATACTCCAAAGGGTTTTGCTCCAAAAGCTGCTGTCTCTGTCATAGGCTGTGTGTGTCCAATTTTATCTGAAACCCAGATCTTGAATCACTTCATGATTTCTGCAGGAAGCATTCAGGTCTAAGTCTCAGGCAAATGGAAGAAAAGGGGCATGGAGGAGGGGAAAAATTCAATGGCAAATAGTTTTAACAGCAACACATTACTAAGATGTAAATTTGGAAAAAATAAACACTGCAACTTTATCTACCTTAATATTATTATTATTATTAGTCCACATTAAAACTGCATTTTTGAATAGGATGCCATAAATATCTGTTGAGAGTTTATTTACACTAGAGTCTCTGCCATTTCTCTGTTCACGAAATTAAGCATTTATCTACTTTTGTCTTTCCTCCTTTTAACTCTAAATTAACCCAGGTAAGGAAATGTCCTTAGTTTTTAACTTTCTCTGAAAGTGTATCAAGTAGCAAAGAAGACAGGGATAAACGTCAGGATGACTGAGAAGAGCAATGGGAGCTTCAACCCTGTGTTCGGAGGTGGTGTACCTAGCACAGAAGAGCACATCTGGCCACCCAGGAGTAATGCAGGACCTTTGCAATGTGTGTCACATGAGGCTGTGCAAACCTAATGGTGTGAATTTCACTGAAGAGAAAGGAGGCAAAGATCACATGCTACCTTTCAACCCAAGTGTATTGTACAACAAATATGGTAAGCAGGACCTGTTTGCTTGTTAGGAAATGTTGCCTTTCTACTACCACTTTCAAATCTCTCACAACTTATGGATGGTTCCTCAGGGACTGTCCCAGACTTCTGGATCTTACACTTGAACTTGGTGATATGTTGCCATTACAGTGTGGGATCAAAAAGATCACTTAAAAACTATAAGTGCACAGGTTAGATCTGTTACACACTGTTGGCTGGTGAAGCAGATTACAGCACGAGCACATAGTCCAGCAAAGCTGCTCAGCACTTCCCTGCATAGAAACAAAGAGAGTACATTTTTTTTTTTTTTTTTGGTACCAGGGATCAAACTCGGGTCCTTGTGCTTGCAAGGCAAGTGGTGGAACCACTGAGCTAAATCCCCGGCCCAATAGTACACTTTTTAATAAAATCTCTTTCAT